CACTCCTCCTTCTTGGAACACCATCCCATGGCCAAAGAATCCAAAGCCTTCTCTCTGACACCACCTGCGTAGCCATTCGTTGACTTCCACAATTCGACGGTCTCTACCCAGGCCTTTTCCCTGCACAGGGAGGATGGATGAGAACACCACTTGCACCTCAAACTCCTTTATCCTTCTTCCTAGAGCCATGTAGTCTGCAGTGATCTGCTCAAGGTCATTCTTGGCAGTATCATTGGTGCCCATATGGAGAAGCAGGAAGGGGTAGTGATCCGAGGGCTTGATGAGTCTCGGCAGTCTCTCCGTCACATCATGAATCCTAGCTCCTGGCAATCAGCAGACCTTTCAGTTTTCTCAGTCGGGGTGGCAGATAGATGACTCAGTCCCCCTGAGGAGGGAGTCCCCGACCACAACCACCCTCCTCCTTTTCTTGTGAGCGGTGGTCGTGGAACCCCCATCCCTAGGACAGTGCATCTCATGCCTTCCAATCGGTGGAGTCTCCTTCTGCTCCCTTCCCTCAGATGTATCATCTACTCCACTCTCCACATTAGTACCTGTGGAGAGAACATTAAACATTAAAACGGTTGCTCACCTGTATCTCCATTGCTGGTACATGGACGCTCCTTTTCCTTCTTCTGTAGGTCACATGCTGCCAATTTTCTTCACCATCCCTCAGTCCCCTCTGCGCAACCTGCTCCGATTGTTCAGAACATTGTGCCTGTAGAAGCATATCCTGACGTCTCTCCAGTAAATCTTCATTTTCTTCTATGCAACGCAGGGTCGATACTTGTTTCTCCAGACCTCGAACCTTCTCTTCCAATATGTAGACCAGCTTTTTTGTTTGTTTGTTTTTCTTTTTGTTTGGCTGGTTGGGGTGGCCAAAACCCTGGAGCCGGCCCTGTTAGCACCGCATCTACAAACAGAGATATTAAGGGTAGAAGGGAGCACTGTGACCATGTAGTCTGATCTCCTTCATAACACCGGGAAGAGAATATCACCCAACGATTCCTACTTGCAGCCCATACTTCCTGGTTGAAGTAGAGCAGCATGAGAAATTCCATTTAACAAGAAGACATTTTAGTCTCAGAAAGGTTTCTGAAGTGGCTTTCTTGCTGGCTTTTGATATTTTCTTGCATGGTTTCTTACAGCCACTAGTGGGCGCCCCTGACTTACACATAGTGATGTTTCACATTTCGTTAGATATTTCGTTCTATAACAATATTTGAGTCAAACTGACTGACAGAAGTTCCCTTGTGACTTCAGCATCATAGGACAGGCGTGGAAGAGATGAGGTGGCCTCAGAAAGAGCAGATCTAACATTTAAAGCCGGAATTAACATTTAAACAAATTAAAGGAAGAATTATTTTATAATTAAATAAGACTCCTTTAAAAGAAAGATAAATTTATGCTGCAAAATGCTTTACTACTTGGCTTTACCGCTCTATCTTCTGCTTGTTTACTCAGGTGAGAAATGTTTACTTTGACTGAATTTAGTATATTTATGTTACTTAAAAGCTACAGAACTCCTGTTGTTACAGGGTAGGTTTTCAAAAGACTCTAGAGTTGGACACCTAGCTTCCTTATAGGCACACAATACTTATTAACAGCACAGAATATTTTAACCAGTATAACAAACTTCATCCAGTTTTTCTGAAAGAAGACTTTGTCCTTCTTGGAAAACAAATCTTGGTTTAACAACGGAAACCAGTTTGTATATAAACGAGTACTCAAATTATAGACATAAAGGAAAAGGAAAAAGAAAGTTCTTTAATGACCTTTTATTCCCGTTACAGGCTTTGTTCAAGGTGATGCTGTGTTTCAGACTCTTCCGGAGGTGACAGTCTCAGAGGGACACGATGTATTATTACCGTGTAATTTCACCACCATTTCTAACACCCCGAAACTTTTCTGGTACCGCCAGTATCCGAACCAACCACCCCAGCATATACTGACAGCCTATAAATCTGCTGCTGAGAAGAACACGTTCACCTCTGGAAAGTTCTCAACCGTTTTGATCGACGATAATAAGACGGTTCCCTTGAAGATCGGGGCTGTGTCGCTGCAAGACAGAGCCGTATATTACTGTGCTCTGAGACCCACACTGGGGCAGAGCTGCATCTCCGGCGATACAAGAAGTGATCGTGGGTGCTCAAGCACACTGATGTTGTCAGAAGCTGCTTTTCTTCCCGACCCTTTTTTAATGATACGTCTCTTCCAAGTTATGATCGGAAGTTCTGGGAGGGAGGGGTACCCTGAGATTGCTCAGTCGGGGTAAACTGCAAAGAATGGGGAGGATGATTCCCCAAACTGGACATCATTACTAATTCTTTGAACCTCCAAACCAGCAACAAAACAGCTTCTACAATACCTACCAAGCCAAAACCACAGTTCCCTTAATACAATCCAGTTTTGGGCTCCTACTCAGACAGCCACGTCAAATATGGTGGGGATTGATTGCTGAAAGTCTCCTTCATCATGTAAAAAAAAAGCCTCCCAATCCCAAATCGGGATTGGACACATTACCCACCAGGTCAATGAATATTTCCTATCCTACCCAAATACAC